TTGAATAGGATTGCCTACTTTTTTTTCAATGATATAAAACAAACACAAATATGCAGAGAAAATATAAATAACATCAAGAACAAGCAACCAAAAAAAGACAATCAAAGCAGAAATATGAGAGTTTTATAGTGGTTCGGAATAAAATCTTACATCCACTCTTCTTTCTCTCGAAGGGGCTCCCACAATATGATATTTGTCACATGGATTACAAACTCTAATCCAATAGGCTTTACAAGACGCTCCCTAGACTAACCCTAATCTAGTCGTCTATACTAGAACATCCTATCACTAGTGTGTACCCTAGCTCCTGTTAGTAACTCTCTTCCTCAATTAAAACTCTGGCCAGAGTACGCCGTCAACCCACTTCCTCAAATAACACCGGCTTGAGTACGTCGTCAAACAATATTGGTCTCACGATTGTGATAAAAAGAGTCTTTAACGGAAAACAATATTATTTAAGCGCAACTAGAAAGACCTTGCAGCCCTTTAGAATTGAAATCAATCTCTAAGGAATTTGATTTAGACTTGGAAGAACGATGTCGATGATCAGGTCCATGGGCAGCACTCCTTGACGATTGATGATCCCATGATGAATAACACGACGGGGAGGTGGAGATGTGATTCCTTTCAAAACAAATCAAATCCTAGAGAGAGATTGTAGCCCTTTAGAATTGAAATCAATCTCTAAGGAATTTGATTTAGATTTGGAAGAACGATGTCGATGATCAGGTCCAAGGGTAGCACTCTTTGACGATTGATGATTGTATGATGAATAACACGACGAGAAATGATCTGAGAAACTACGGGGAGGTGGAGATGTGATTCTTTTCAAAACAAATCAAATCCTAGCTCTCTCTCTTATGCGAAACAATGTGATGCAGGTACAAAGATCAACGACAATAATATTTCGCGAAATCAACGATCGATCTAAGCAGGAAGTTCAAGAAGAAAATGGAGCTGACGATGGTTTTTAATCAAAATTTACAAATGTACTAAATTCAGACCTTTGTAAATTATTCAGATAATACAGTTCAACTTGTAATATTTAGATCAGTAAAAATACTTAGCAACAGAATCACTCGCTCACTAGTCAAATTGAATACAGCACAAGCGCAATAGATATTAATATTGATAACAACATGTACGCAATAGCGATTCCGAAAATAATTGATTCGAAAGAAAACAAACCTTCGTCGGATTGAACTGGTTCTACGGGGGAGCTACTCATGCAAAGAACTCTAGAGATGGTGCAACAACGTGAGCGACAGAAGGGCACAAACAACGGGAGGACGCGACGTCGAACTGGACGTCGAAGCGGACGATGACGTCGAACCTTTGAATTAACCGCTGTTGTAATCAATTTGAATAGTTGATTCTGAATTTTGATCTTCAGTTTAAGCTACAAACAGATCTGAAGACAAGTTAAAGTCGAGGTTGAAGCACTGGTTGTCGAGGTTCAGATTTTCTATCCTCGAGCAAGTAGACAAAGTGGACGAGGTGTAGTGACTGGTTGTTCTCGTGCAATGATCAGGACAGAGGGTTTGTGGGTTTGTTGCGGCTTCAAAGCGCATGAAGGCGAAGGAAAGGGACGGCGGCTGTTTGAGGTG